AAATGTGTTACTTGTTGATCATTCCAAGATGCCAGATATGTCAACGTGTCTGGACTGGAGTAATCAAATGTGGGACCTATACATATACTATGGTTATAAGGGATTAGGATGCTATCTTACAATATTAGGATTTGGAACAAGGATATTGACTCTAGCTACTGGTTTCATTCGTCAGCATTAATTAAACACTGTGCTGTAATCAAATGAAAGGTGGATCATTGGCTGCAGTACAGCATGACACTGTTGGCTGGTCTCCATAACTGTCTGCCCTTGAAGCATCTTCAAAGAGGATAAATAGTCCAAAAAACATTAATTACATGCAACTATACTAGTTTAAAAACAGATGCTTGGATTACTAAAGGCTGGCCATGAGGAAAAATAATGCGATATTCTCCAAGAATAAAATTTGATTCTTCTTTGACATTTGAAAACATGGCTGATTTTCTGCTAATGTCATTACACTGTTGATTAAGATATTTCATATGCTTGATGTCTTTCAAACATACAGTACACACACCCACACATTATTTCTATTCCATTCACACATACACCAAAATCTGAATGAATCTTTGCTTGAGTTGCTTGTTCTCTAAATTCAGCTATTTATTCATTCCAAGCCAGGAACGAATAACTAGCTGAATTTGGAGATCAAGTTGTAATTAAACAGCTGCGAGAAGCTTAAACCCGAAGCGGTTTTTAAAGTGGCGAAACCCTTGCTGCCATTCAACGAAGCCCCTCCAGATGGTGGCCCACTGTTTGAGCAGAGCATGATGGGAATAGCAAAGACCTCTGCTCTGTTTGTTTTCAGTTAGTATGGATCTCACGAGCATCTCCTGGAAGAGGTAGAAGGGAAGGGAGAGAGACAAGCATCTGACAGTCTGTTTACCTGTGTGTTTATTCACTATCGCTCTGGGGAGTCTAGGTTTAGGAACCGTTTTCTGGTGACAGATGTTCAGTGTTTTTCTTGGAACTGACCTTTCGTTCCTGATATTTCTGGATTGGTAATGCTTTAAATTAAGCTTAAAGCATTTTATTGCATGAAATAGTAATGTATAACCTTTTCCGTATCCCTTAAACATTAAATGCTTTATATGTACATGTGGTTTAATATTTTGTAATTAAATTCATGTGGCTTCTGCAGAAAAATACTAAACTGTTTATATTAAAATTGATATATAGTAGTCAACATTTGAAGTGGATCAAACAAAGTTCATCAAACAAGAACGCATTTTGGTTTTAGGACAACTTTGATGAAAGGTTTTGATCCACTTCAAATGTTGACTAGTGTGTACTGTATATATAAATATATATATATTTCAATCATGACAACTCTCGGAACATTTTAACATGGTGATGGATCTGACAATGTTCATGTATTTGGTCTTGGCGGAACAGATCTGCTACGCTGCTGCTGAATTGCTGCTGCTGTTGGTTATTGCTGTAGTTGTAGATTATTGCTGCTGCTGCAAGCAAGTACAGGTATATATATATATACATACATACATACATACACACATAATTTTAAGTAAAACAAGTCCTAATATTTTAAGAAATTCTGATGTTTCAATACTTTTTACTTGAAAAAGACAAAACATGCTTATATATATGTGGTTTATATTTTGCAATTAAATTCATGTGGCATTTGCAAAAAAAAAAAAGACCTTTTCTCAAAATTAACTTTTCTGAGCTTTTTTGGTAACCAATAATTTGACAGAAAAAATGTCCAAAGAATGTAAATTTTATATAGAGTGAAATGTGTAAAGCAAGTCTGCAGTGAATTATAATAAATGATATTGCATTTTATTATTTGACATACTATATTTTAAACATTTTAAAGGTGTGATGTAATCAGCAGTTAAGTTAATAACTTTCACAGTTTGCTTCATGTAATTTTAAAATAATTTTTCTAAAAAAAAAAAAAAAAAAATGTTTTTACATATCAAGTAAAGCTAAGTTGCATCAGTCCAGTAAGTGTTAGATAGATAGATAGATAGATAACACAAGATGATAACAAAGGGTTAAAAATATTACCATATTTATTGGACACAATGTTTAAAATGCATACAATTCAGCAAGAGCTTTATGAAAGAATAACCAAACCGGTACACATATGATCACAATGTTGAAAAATTCAAAACAAATGATACACAGAAAATTAGAGGTAACATCTTCAGGTACTGACTGAGTTTGCTCAAGTCAATGACTCAGTGACCCTTCATGGCCTTATCCGATCATGTATCCATTACTGACCTCCTACAAGCCAGAGAAGCTTTTTACACTCAGGGCTGAAGTACTCCAGTTTAGAAGTGGGTGGCAAAGTGCATCACATGTGTACACTTCAACACAAGTATACCAGATATGATTTAATTATGTAATGCACAGTGCGGTTACCCGCACAAAAAAATCCAGTCCTGATTGGTACAGTGAGTTACAGAGGACGACTGCAAAACCATGTAAAGATTTTGTAATACTGAATCTTTAGGCCACAAGAGAGTGGCCTCCTACAGTTTAATTCATGACTTCTAGACACATCATTAATATTTTTCAAACAGCACTACACGTCTCGACCGCTGAGTGACATTTATTTATTCTCCTGTCTCACTGCTAATCCTGGCTGATATTCAAACCTGGCAATCAAAGTTTAAGTTGTGTGTTCACTATCTTGGCTAAAAATGTCTATCCCAGGTCCTGATGCAATGTGCAGGTAACCCAGTAACAGGTAGTGTGGACTGTGTAAACTGCCAGACCAAAGTATGCATGATATTACTGTGCATAATAACAGTACTTCACAAAATGAAACACAAACAACTGCATTTATTATTTCTAAAAAGCAAAAGGAATCTCAAAAATGCTTCAAGACAATTTTTACTGCATTGAACTGTGAGTTTGTGTCAATAGTGGGCTATAAGCAAAAAATAAAAAACATGAGAACTTTGAAATCACTCCAAGAATTCAAAGTTTATTGTTTTGTGTTGGAAGATGCTTTTTGCAACGCCTCATTAAATTATTCGCTGTTATTGTTGCCGCATGGGAAATTACAAATCGGAATAGGCACATATGTTTCAGTAATTTGACAATTAGGAATAGCTCCTAATTAAGAATTACTAAAAGGAGAGAGCAGATGTGCCCATTATTACAATTATAACCTTGACTTTCATCAGTAAATATGCGGAAGAAATAAACATTCTTCATTATGGTTTCAATTAAATGTAACTCAATGAGCCGAAGGAACACTTTCCCACAAGAGGTCACAGAATGAGAGGATAACACTGTTTTTGTTTCATCTGCATCACTTAGAAAATATCTGCTAACATTATAAATAATGTAAAGAAAAATCATGTTTGAACTTTAATTATTATTTAGCATTTTCCTTACCAGAGTGCTCAAGTTGTGCTTATTAAATCAATACTGTTTCACCGACATGGTTTGCATCTGCACTGCAAAAAATTCACCTACTCAGTATTGTCTTGTTTTCCAATAAAATGTTTTTATAAACATCATTAAAGCAAGATAAATTAATAAAGATAAGATATACTATTATTCAAACGTTTGGGGTCGGTCATATTTGTATGTTTTTCAAATAATTCTCTTTTGCTCACCAAGGCTACATTTATTGGATCAAAATATTGTTAAATATTATTAGAATTTATTAAAACCATTTCTTTTTGCATATATTTTAAAATGTCATCTATTCATGAGATGGCAAAGTTCTCAAGTGTCTTTTCTTCAGTGTCACGTGAACCTTCAGAAATCAGTCTAATATGCTGATTTGTGTTTAAATAGCATTTCTTTTTATTATCAGTGCTGGAAACAGTTGTGCTGCTTAATATTTTTGTGGAAACAGTGATTTCTTCCATTAATAAAAATAAAAAAAAACCAGCATTTTTCAGGGGAAAAGATACAAATTATATGGAGCTTATAATATGACAAAACTATTTGAATTTGTATTGTATAAATTTGAATTATTGACAAGTGGCATTTATCAAAACTGAATACTGAATTTGATTTTTTTTTTTTACTTGAATATTGAACATTTGAAATTTAACACAACTTAATTTTTTATAGCAGTTTTATAGACATGTATTTTCAAACAGTGAATTTTTTGTTCCAAATTCTTTGACTACAAATATCCAGTTTTTAAAAAAAATACAGCTTCAAGTTTTCAAGATGAAGAGGAAATTTGGAACATCAAATTCAATATTCTAAAATTCAATACGCAGAAATTCAGATCGTACAGAAAGTAGGGCAGAGGTAATCCACAGGGAAGAGCAGATGATCTCCGAAAAGTCAAACGAAGCATTTTGGCCAATTAGTAGTTTTCTGGCGTTCAGATCAGGTTGATCTACCTGATCATGAATCGCCCAGAGCTAAGCGTTCTCAGCATGTGAAACATTTATCTAAGCGGTCTCTGGTGTTTGTTTTAAAGTATATTTGGTGTGATAGTGATTTGCATGCCACCGTGTCTACACAGGACGCGAGCGAAAGCAAAAAAGCATAATATTCAGTTTTGATAAATGCCACTTGTCAATAATTCAAATTTATACAATACAAATTCAAATAGTTTTGTCATATTATAAGCTCCATAAAATTAAATGTCTTTATGGTCACTTTTGATTAATTTGATACATCCTTGCTGAATAAAACTATTCATTTCTTAAAAAGAGATTTTGCTGATCTCAAACTTTTGAACAGTAGTGTAAATATATTCTTTCAGAGAATATTTAAATTTATTGTCCTAAACTGACAAACTTTTTTTTTTCTTTTCATAAAACCCACTAAATTTTCTTCAGAACAGAAAAATAAGCAATTTTAAGGAAAACAAGTGTTAAAATCTTAAGCAATTCTGATGTTTAGATATTTTTTACTGGAAAACAAGACAAAAACACAGAAAGAAAGTGTTTTTTACTGTATAAATGAAAGACTTGTGATGACAAAAAATAAATAAAAACAATGAAACCGAAAGGCATCGAACAGGAAGTGTTCCATTGACATATTCCATAGACAACAAAACTGAGTTTGCAGTTCTGTCTGATCTGCAGCCATCTTGAATCGTGTATCAGTGACAAACAACAATCCTGAGAATGCTTAGCTTTCCCCAACACCTTAAAGCTAAATTATCCATTATATTCTACAGCCTCACAATCCTCGTCTGTCCAAAGCTAGAGTTGAAGGTTAAAATAAGAGTTACCACCTTGCCTTAATTTACAACTGACAAAAACCTTCAAAACACTAAGTCATTACTGTACAAATACAATAACCAACACTGTACAATGTCTCAAGTTCTACTGCAATACAATAGTTTCTTCTTCAATCAAACATTTCCAAGCGCAGAACAAAGCACTGCCAAGAAACATGGGGCGAGAAACCAGAAAATGGAGGATGAAGCTATTTTTAAAGCACCAGCATCTGTTGCGGACACCTTTTTACACGGGATTGTGAACATGGTGCATGAAATGACTTGGAAATTGTATGCTAAAATGTTTAAGCTCCTCCATTGTGTTATCATATGGAAATGCAATCTCAAGGTACCAAGCACTCGGTAACCATCAGACCTCTACGCTAAATGGGGTCCAACACAAACACAGGTTCAACAGTCCACCGAGGGCAGCTCCATCAACACCAGGATGATTTAGGAATAAAGTCTCCCTCGTAAAATGCTCAACACATATCCTTTCCTCCTTCCAAAAAAGACGCTCACGTTTGTGATGAAACACACGTAATGAGGCAAAATACTTTAAATACGCAAAGAAAAGCCACATCAAATGAAGCGGCTCCACATCAACGTGTTGAAAAAGACCGAAAGTTGCTGCCAGTGTGAAGGAAGGACAACATCTGCCCTCTTCGTGACATCGTCACGCTGTCCAGTCTCTGTTTGTGAAGCAACAATTGCTTTTCATTCCTTAAACGCCTCTCGTTTCTCTGTTGCTGCACATCGGATGTCAGAACTTGTCAAAAGTGACAAGCGTGGGCTCTCCGAACTCTAGGATCTCCAAGGTGGAATTGACATATTCCGAAGACGCTGCCGAGGGCTTGACGGGAGCAGGCCGGAGTGGCATTCGGGGTCAAGGAGTGGCCCTTCTATGTAGCGTTTAAATGTGTGCGTATGTGCGAAAGAGAGATCAGTGCTTCATTGCTTTCTAAAGGCGAGTCTGAAGGTTTCTAAACTACTTCCACATACACAAGTTTGCAAGGACATCTCGCTGAAGGCTTCCTCACCCTCGCAGCGCAGTTCACATTAAGCATCTTCATAACAGTTGAAAGATTCACAAGACACAATCGGTGTTTCTTCTCAAGGTCTTTCTTCTGTACAATGAGGAGTGAAGCGTGATGTTCACAGTGCTGTGATGTCACATGGTGTTGATTCTTGTCCTTACTTCACTTGGATGGATAGATATCCAAGTTCACAATCTCGGACATCCGCAACGATCTACTGCCTTTCTGGATGCTGATCACAAAGGGGAAGGTACCGGCCCGTTCTCCTGTAGGGCTGATGAACTTCAGTGCTGGTAGAGAGATAAAACAGAGTCATTTTGCAGCAAGACGCTTCCATGTGGCAAGAACGCTCCCAATCTCCTCATCAGGGGAAGCGGAACAGGTTTGAGGGCGTTGAGGTGAGGAGCTATACCTGAACCGGAGTCCCATGGTGTGCCTGAAGACACTGGATACTAGACAAGATCTTTTTCTGATGACCTGCCAGTGCTACACCCATCTTATCCAGTTCACTGTGAGAGAAACGAAAGAGATAGAAGAAACTACCTTAGCAAAAGGTGGCTATGTTCGCAATAGCACAATAGCATACTACTCATATTATTTTTACAGTATTCGGTATGTTAACTATATACAGTATGCAGCTTGTCTACATGCATGGAAGCAGAATGCACATATTGTCTCGAACAATTCAGTGCATTTTTTTTGACTCAATATTTGATTAAGCTGCCAAGTTACAGCATTCTTACACAAATTTGAATTAAAATGAGTAATGACTTTCAAGCAATAACTTCCAAGTATTGCATACTGTTTTACATACTTTTTACAAAATAGTAGGCAGTGCATAATATGCTGTAAACAGCATTCAATTTTGCAACATAGCTGGTATATTTGGAATGCTATACTACTACTCCTACATGCATGGAAGCAGAATGCACATATTGTCTCGAACAATTCAGTGCACTCCATTTTTTTTGACTCAATATTTGATTAAGCTGCCAAGTTACAGCATTCTTACACAAATTTGAATTAAAATGAGCAATGACTTTCAAGCAATAACTTCCAAGTATTGCATACTGTTTTACATACTTTTTACAAAATAGTAGGCAGTGCATAATATGCTGTAAACAGCATTCAATTTTGCAACATAGCTGGTATATTTGGAATGCTATACTACTACTCGTACTAATTTTTACAGTATGTGTTATGCTAATTGTATACAGTATGCAGGTTTTCTGTATGCATGGAAGCACAGCACACATTGAATCCCATAATGCAATGCAGTTAACTTCCATTTACAGTGTGATTAATAGTAACTAAAGCAATTTTTTTCTTTTTTTGACTCAATACTTGAATAAAGTGCCAAAAGTTACAACATTTCTACACAAAACTGAATTGATAACTCGTAATGAGGTCATGTGACAATAAAGCATACTACTGTTGCATACTAATGCCTGTGGAATATTGTAGTCCCATAATGCAATGAGAAATACAAATGAAACCTTTTTGTGGACTTATATTGATTGCAAAATAATCTTTACACACATTTAGATGAAAATGTAAAACAATCATGTTTATTTTCGATAGGATAACTGGATGCCATTTGCTGCCAAGTAATGAGGTCACGTCATAACAATATAGTTTACACCATTTACCTCTGTATATTATATATGGCTTTGCATACTTTTTTAAAAACAGTATGCAGTAAACACCATCTTCAAGTATTCAGTTTCCAACATGGTATGGGATGTTCGGAATGCCATACTATTTTTTTTGCAGCTTTTTACAGTGTATCGTTTGTAAAATCTCAATTTGATTCTTAGTATGCAGTAAGATAACATACTAGTGAGAACACAGTCAAGTGTCTCTTGAAATGCAACCAAACATTTCATACTAACATAAATTAGTGTAGCTTTTATTTACCTAGCGCTGACATACAGAACTGAGTCCAGGGTGACATAGCCGGCGCTGGAGAAGTGTTCCTTGTACTGACCCATTTTAATCAAGTCCAGCCAGCCTTCCACCGTGCTGACCCCTGCCTCAGGAGTCACTGGGTCCTCCCTATGGTTGGAGGAGGAAGTGCAGTCAGAAAAACAGTCTTGTAGAACCACGTCATGTCACATCCTGTACGTCAGAATTGACTTAAAGAATGCATTCTGCACTGGTCTGTGAGGATGTCAGATGTATGTATCCATTTGAGATTGTGTTTTTAGTCAAATCCCAATTAGATTTATACTGTTTTCTCAGCCAATACTTTTTACATACTGTAAGTTTCAATGATGTGAGCATTTACAGAGTTTCGTAAGGGTAAGAAACTAGCTTTTTTCATGCATTCGAGTGTGTGTGTGTTTGTGTCAGCTTATCATTGCCTGGACATGTTAGGCTTTCCAGATCCAGAAGGGAGGCAGATTGCACCAAATCGTGTCTCTGTCTCTATCTCCCTCTCTGTTGCATAGCCTCCATTATAACACACAATCCTGAGTAATTTAGATTTAAACCTATTTTATTTAATAGTAACGACGCAGGCAGAGATGTCCCAGTGGTTTGTGGGAAACTTCAGTTTGCACATTCTGCTTTAATTATGGCAAGCACTGCCTAAACAATCCAGCGCCAATCTGCCTTCTATTTGGCAACCCTCAAAATGCAGCAGAGGGATAGACAGGCAATCAGATATCAGCCAAGACCACCGCAAACCCCCCTCCTGATCGAGAGAAACATGCACTGGAAGTAAGAAGTTCGTACTGACGTACATCTGGTTTCAATCTAGATAAGCCGGATATCTGTTTCAATTATTTTGAACTTATTGGATTACTGCGAAAAACGCCTCCGATTTTATCACACACCTGAGAAACATCATAACGCTCTTCATGAGCTATATATATTGCAAACCGCCACACACATCCCAGCGGATCACCTCTATTGAATTCAGATCTAATCCGCGGAGGGCATTTGGCTCACCAGACTGCAGTGTTGGCCAGCTGCTTCAGGCTGCTTGGGTTCCGGATCAGCCTGTCCAGAGTGTTGACAATCTGCCCAAATTTCGGCCGATCGCTGCGGTTCTTTTCCCAGCAGTCTAGCATGAGCTGGTGAAGCACCACCGGACAGTCCATTGGAGCCGGTAGCCTGTAGCCTTCATCTACAGCTTTTATCACCTGGAGGGATGAAGATTCCACATTAAAAATCATACATTAGCAGCATATACGCTTCATGAATACTGAGCAGATTTATTCCTAGCTTAATGCATTTAGCTTTTGTTTGCCGTTAAATTAATACATTTTTTTATCCATCTGTGACTGAAGTGAAAATGAGATTTCGGGTGAGACTGTCTTTGTTAGCGTAAGAGGAGAGCTGTTTAATTTAGTCCCTTTTATGAAATGATACCGCCGTAAGGGAAAGAATAAACTAGCTTGATGCAAACATTCATATTATCTTTACTCTTGCCTGGAAGACTAACCGTTGAAACGCTCCATTGCCTGTTACCATGGCAAAGTAGGAAGACAGATGGATTTTGTGGTTTACTCCTTGAATGGAACTTTCGAATTCGGCTCCCTCGACACAATAAAAGTGCATCCGCTAACAAGCATGCAAACGTTTTTCGTGCTCCACTTTAACATGCCGAGTATACAGGCTCGAATCCTTCCCAAATGTCTCAATCTCTTTCCTGAGCAGCCTCTTTCCAAATCCCGCACAAAGATCTCTTCCCAAGGTGAAAATAAATAAATGAAAATGGTTTCTGGTGTGGAAAATCTGCCGAGAACCCACTGACACGGATTCAAATTCCCTCTTTTAAAGCGGCCTGTGAACTGAAATCTGGAAATGTTCAGCCTCCAGATGCATTTAATCTTTTTACCTTTCTAAGCCTGGGAGGTTTTTTTTTCTTATTTCAGTCCCACTGAAGTGTTCTGGCAGAGTGCTTTTATTACAAATCGATAGGGATTCTCAAGTTTAAAAAATAAAGTGGCGCAAAGGTTAACAGCGTTGTTACAGTTAACTAAAACTAAAACTATTAATTGAAAATAAAGCCTAAATAAAATAAAATCTACCCATAGGATATCACCTCCCACATGACAATGCCGTAACTCCACACATCACTGGCTGATGTGAACTTCCTGTAGGTGATGGCCTCAGGGGCTGTCCATCGAATGGGAATCTTACCCCCCTGAAAAACAGCACAAAATCAGTTGTCAGCGATGTTGTAAAGCAGCATCACTACAAAGCTATTAGCAAAGTTATTAGGGCGATCACTAGCAAAGTGCTAGCACTGCTATTTTTTAAATCATGCAGCTTTACAGTAATGAAGCTATTTTATTATCATAAGTTGTGGAATAGCTTAATAGAAAGCTATTTTTGAAATGTAGGTTGTAGCTACTTTCGCTAAAGGGGAGCTTTTAGCTTAGCAACTGGGAGCTTAGCTAAATACATTTTTTTTTGAGTACCCTGCGCAATGCTGGTGATTAGCGGTAAGCAGTTTTTATCAAAATAAAAACATGAATGTTCAGACAACTAAGGAGGAGAAACAAGCCACTTGTTGGAACATAACTGGGCATAATTGCAACACTCAACATGGCGACTGTAGTAAAGGAAGTCATTCCTTTCAAAAGCCATTTTTGCTCTAGAATGCTGGTCCAACCTTTATTTTTCATTTTTAATACTCATCTTCCAGCAAAACCATGTACAAATGCATTCACAGGCAGGGAAAGGCACACACCCACACGGAGTAGATGTTTAGCCATCCATCAGTCTGGATAGTTGTTATGACAGTCCTGCGTGACCTCATTTCTAGACTACAGGTCAGCAAGAATATATCTCGCTGTGTCTGATTTTTTTTAAATATATATTATATTCATATTTCTTTTAAACAAAGAGCTGAACCAGTTTAACATATAACAACAAAACTGTTGCATAGTAAATCTAGTTAAAATGAGACTGAAGAGCAGACATCCAGAGCAGAAGCATGATCTCTCACCCGTGTAGTGTATGCCGCCTCTGGATCGTCCTCTAACACGCGCGACAGCCCGAAGTCAGACACTTTACACACCAGGTTTCCGTTCACCAGAATGTTCCGTGCCGCCAAATCCCGGTGCACGTAGTTCATCTCTGAGAGGTACTGCATCCCCGCAGCTATCCCACGCATCATTCCCACCAGCTGGATCACCGTGAACTGCCCGTCGTGTTTCTGCACAAAATGAAGAGTTCTCATGTCAAATTCTCATCCCTGTGGCCTTATTTCCTGCCTTGTTCAACCTCTTTGGATTCTGGCACAGTCGGTCATGTTTGAATGTGTCTCATGAGTAATTCATAATTCACTGGCTCCCTAATTAATAGTGTTGCTCACATGTTACAGGGCACAAGCTATTAACTGCAATCACTGTAAAATCATTCAGGCTTTTATGCAAGCAATGGCAAGTAAATCATGCAACTAACCAGATTATGATGTTTCATTACACCCTCTGGCCAGAAAACGTAAACGTTTTGATTGTTAACTACAGTTGCATGGTAATATTGGAGTAATAATGGGATGGTGGTTTGTTAGTGCAGGGGTTATACATATACATATACATATACACACACACATTATATTAGTGCTGTCAAATCGATTAATCACAATTAATTGCATCCAAAATAAAAGTTTGTGTTTGCATAATATGTGTGTACTGTGTATATAAATGAACACACATACATGTATATATTTAAGAAATATTTACATGTACATATATATTTTCATATTTGTATATTTATATTATACATTAATATATATTACATATATTACTTATATTTTTGAATGTTTTAATGTAATAAATTAATATAATGCTTTAAGGTATGTATCAAACTTGAAATGCTTTTTGAAGATGGGTTGGAATTCATGGGATTATTTATGATATTTTATTTACCACTCTTTCTATTTTTCTCACATAGTATGAATAGTATCTATAAATTCACTTTGAAACACTATTTCACTATTTTGCATTTAATTAAAAATATTTCTTTTCGAGCTCACACATCTAATATTAGTCTTATAGTGAGTAGAAGACACTGCCAATGCAATATAAAGTAAATATTTTCAGGATAATATTTCAATAATCTCCTTTGACTTAAGTATAATGATTATGTAAACAAATTTTTTTTTTTATATTGTCTTTATAATACAACTCTTACTATCTTTCTAGTGTTTTGCTAGTGTCTCCATAAAGCTTCTAAACTAGCTTGACCAGCAAGTCAACCAGCGTTATCAGAAAGACCATGCTGGTTGACTATCTCCACCAGATAAGATTTGCTTGAGAACATAATGATCCAAACCAGCATAAACCATGGTGGTCTAAGCTGAGAAACAAAACACAAGCTGAGGAACACAAAGAAAAACCAGGCATAGAGAGGTGTGAACACGCGAGTTGTCGAGCCCAATCTGGAAGAGACGGACGACTGCTTTGTGTTCCTGTGATATTTTACAGTATTTCCTTTGGTGCAAATTGGCCTCCATCATTCCCAACAAAATAGAGCACGCTCACCTTCAAAAAAGTGTCCAGAGATCCATTTTCCATGTACTCTGTCACTATCATCACAGGTTTACCTAAAGGACAGTGAGAGAGAGGAGACAAAATGGGAAGTGTGAAATATTGTGGAAAATAGAGAAAGAGAGAGAGAGAGAGAGAGCAGAAGCGAGAGAAAGAAGTTTCATTTTTTTCAGAGGCGAATAAGAAAAGACACAGCAGAGAGGCAGGAAGAGGCTGGCGCTTTTGTGTCCTATATTTAATTCATTTCCAAGTTGACAGAGAAAAACATGCAGATAAAGAGAGCGGACACCTCCCCCACTCCCAGCGACTTCACAGCCCCTCGTTCCTGCTTTGGTTGGCCTCTACCTGCTGCCTGTTACTCATATTG